ATATATATATATATATATATATATATATATATATAAAAGTGTGTACACAATGACTCCATATGCAAACACTTATGAAGCGAAAGAAAACAAAGAAAGATAAAAAAAAAAAAGACAACCGGCACAAAAGTTGTAATTCAAATCATTTATTTTACATGGAGGATATTAATATGTAGAAACTCCTCTAGAAAAAAAAGAAAAGAAAAAGAGTTATGCCGTACTGTTTCTTGCAAGATTTTTAGCAAACGCATTTGCTTGAAGTATGGATTTCCTCTTTTTTTCTTCCTCCACCGCCCTCCATTGTTCCTCTTTTTCTTGTTTTGCCCGTCTGTCATCCTCTTCTGCGAGAAAGTGGAGAATAGCGTCTACATGTTCTTGTTCTGCTGCCTTCAGCACCCTTCGCCTCTCATCACATGTATCCTTAAAGTAGGAGACTGTGACATGCGTACACCCTGCGTATTCCCGCACCAACCGCACCACTTTATCCACTTCCTCTGGGGTTGGTTTATACTGTGCGTGGTGGGCGAGCATGATGAGCATGGGCACCCGCACTCTCCCTATGGACTGCTGCAGCGTGTCCACCTCGCCCCGCATGCACGGCGACCAGACGGCCTCCTGCAGCGTCGGGAAGCCCCCGCCGGCGAGTCTCGCCGGGGTGACGGGGATGTCGTAGTGGTCGACGAGGGCCCGCGAGTCCTCCTGGCGGCCGGCCGCGACGAGTTCGGCGACGAATTCCGCCCGGGCGGCGACGCCCTCGGGGGTGAAGAGGGGACTCGCCGGGTCGCAGACAACACCGTGGAGAATGGCGCGGGTCACGAAGGCGGTGTGGCGGCCATTCGCCAGCAACTCAAACACCACCTGCACGCCGGTGCTCGTCGCGAAGAGTGTAATCTCACGCATGTCGTAATCCTTCACCAGAATAGAGAGGAGCTCATCCACGTCCTCCGCGTCGTGGACGTGGTCCTGGGCACCAAAGCCAACGCGACTGCTCGGGAGTTCAACTTGAGCAAAGGCCCAGTCACCACTGAGCATCTCTGCAAGCCTGGGGAAGTAGTTAAAACAGAGGAAAGATTCAGACTGACCTCCAATCCAGAGAACACATCGCTGCGCCCTCAGTGACCCTCCACCCATTAGGAAAACAGGAATCTTACAGTAAGGATCCTTATAAAAGGTGAACAGGGATCCCTCAAACATGATTATGAGTATTAGCTTGTATATATATAAATATATAAATATATTTATTTATTAGGTGCTTCTACCCATATATTATTACATATGAGTTTCATAGATATACAAATACAAGAAAACAGTGTAAAATCACAGAAAAAAAAAGAAGAAAAAGAGAACACTTAAATTAGAAAGTGGTTAATTAACATGGATAATTTATACGGTAACACAGACACACACAAACACAAGAAAAAAAAAAAAAAAAACGGTTTCAAACACTTTGATCATCTGATCTGAATTATCGCTATACAAATACACACACACACACACATACACACACCAATAGTATTAAAAATAACAACTACACATCTGTGAGTAAAAACAACAAACACCATCACCCACCACTACTACCACCAGAAGAAGAAAAGGAAAAAACAGAAATATCAAAAAAAAAAAAAAAAACCTAAACAACACCTGAAGTGGCACTAGGCTCAACAGCTCCCCTCTGGAGCAGAATCTGTAATTCCTCTGGCATATCAGGTGTGATTTCCTTAACAAAATGTAAAACACGTGTTGCCATAGCTTTATACACAAAATCATCCTCAGATCCAAGACGTTTCATATATCGATTAGCACGTTCAATCTCTGCTAAGCTCATTGAACGTGCCATAGGTGCCATATGCGAACCAAGTACCCGTACCATATAAGGTGGACATTGTGCCGTTATACTGAGACCCATGAGTATAGGTTCTAACAATGACCAGTCCTTAAAACCATAGCGAAACCCAGTCTCAGCAGCCTGTATATAGAACTCTGGATCATCATAGCCAAGATTAGCAAGACCACGTGTAGCTCCAGCTAAGGCTTCAGGACCCATCAAATCAAGACGTAAACGTGCTTGTTTACCAAAGAGATGAACAAGTGGATGTTCACGTGCAGGTGGATAAAGTCCTATGATATCAAGGATATCCCCAAGTTGACTTGGTGTTAAAAGACGAGTACATTCCGCTGCACGATCCATAAGTGCTCGCATTAAAGGATCAGATGGATAAGGTACAGTACTACAGATATCCATTACAGGTGCAATATTACGTGGATCCATCTTAGATACATACCGAAGCGTACAAGATGCCATAGTTCCAAACATAGAATCACTAAGTAATCGAAGTCGTTGTAATGCAATAAAAGCTTGTATTAATTCTCTTTCTGAAAGGTCTACGGCAACTTCTACAAGAGCATCAGCGTAAATTTCAACATGTTCACGATTTTTATAATCCATTGTACTAAAACAAACAAGATAATTTGTTAGTGTTACAGCATCCATATTCTCCACATGTTCTAAACCACATTCCACTAGAGAACGAAAAGTTCCTATAAATTTTGGTCCTAACGCATTAAGAGCGTATAGAATGTTAACATAATCTTCAGGTTGAAATTCTCCCATTCTTTCTTCTACAATTTGAAAGACACGACGCAATATATTATGTGAAACACCTGGACAATAAGCAAGGCTCATAGCTGTTAACGATATATCAAGAGCACTTAAATCATCATTTGATTCAATTATACGTTTTGCTAGTTTACCTAGAAAATCTGTGTTTGTACACTTGAGTCGTGCCAATTCTGTAACGGTTAAAGAAAGTTGAGTTGGACTAAATTCTTCAAGAATTGGAAACATTAATTTTAGTACTTGATTTATTTTTCGTTCATCTCGTTGTTTTGTAATATTCATAGTACGAAGCACCAATATTAACGACTCTGGCGATATAGCTTCCTCCTCTGGAACGGATACCTCATTCGGCATACTGATAATACCCACCTTTCGGAAAGTATCCGCAATTAAATTAGCCTGAAAAGGAGAAAGGACTGTCTGATCAGAACGGCGGAAAGCGTCATGAAGTCCCCGCATGAAATCAGGGTCCTGCGTCATTCCAATATTATCCATATTATACGCAGTTGTACAGATTTGATAAATATCTTGTGCAGTAAACTCTACAAGATTAAGTTTACAACGTTCAAAGATCTGTTCAAGTGGAGCTGGACGCGTGGAAACCATAGTGGCAAGAGCGGCCGGGGCAGCAGTAGAGAGTACATTAAGCATCTTTTTTTTTTCCCCACAACTACACCTAATGTAATATAAATAGCTTTGTATTATTATTATTATTAATATGAATGAAATGAATTCCATATCGTTGATGATTAGTGAAAGAAATTACATTTGGAAAAACAAAAAACAAAAAAAACAATGGTCATATAAAAACAAACAAATGAAAGAGTAATACAAGATAAAAAATAAATAATAATAATAATAATAATAATAATAATAATAATAATAATAATAATAATAGTAATAACAATAATAAAAATTTGCGAGTAGACAGTTCCAAAACATTATGTGAAATCATCAGCAGGATCATATCCACGTCGAGACCAGCGACTTCCCGACTCTCGCTGTAACTGTTTCGCACGTCGAAAGATCATTTGATGAACATTCTTATCTGTAACACCAAGCTTCGTGAGGAGTTTACGAGCCTCAGCAAGTTCTTCATCATTTAAAGAAGGGGCCAATCCTAATATTCCTTTTGTAATCATCTCTTGCCCTCTCCTATCGGCTACTACTTCTTGTGTACAACTCTTCATTAAATTGGCTAATTTCTCAAAGCTACGAAATCCACCCTTGTTATTTTGCAGAACGATCACCAGTGTATAAAAATCATCTGTAAAGTGTTGCAGTTGAGCAAGATTTAATATAACTTGTTCTAACGCTTCACCATCAAAGGACTCTGCACGAAGAGAAGCAGCGAATGCAAGTCCTACAATACAAGCATTACCTTTTGCTGGAGGATAACTTGAAAGAAGGTCTAATATAAACACTAATTGTGGTATGGAAAGTTTTCCTCCATCTACTTCTAAGCGATTCATTAATTTTGTCATAATGCTTCCAGTATCAATTGGTAATACTGAGAGAATATCCATAAGTGCATCCACATGACGGATATCCACTGTAGGTACGATAGATTCTGTCTTTTCCAACAATTCCGGTAATCCTGGAGTATTAGCAGAAATACCAAGATCTATAGTAGATTGTAATATCGCGAGTAAATCACGATCCACAATTTTATCCAAATGTCTAGAAGTATCCGAAAATATTTTCACAACAACAGGATGACGCCGTAAATTATATCGTGCAGCCACTACTAATAAAGCTCTATGATATGTTGCATTATCACTCTCATTAAGATGTACGACGGCTCGTTGTAGGAGTTTTGGCACCATACGTGCAGGAGCAGATGAGATTTGTGGATGTCTTTCAAGTGCCATAGCCACAAAGTGTATTTGTTCACGGTGAAGTTTTTCCATATGAATCTCAATCTGATTTACAAAAGCCACCATTGAATCATGACTTTGTAGTTTACTAAGATTGAAATATGTTCTACAAAGATCTGTTTGCGATAACTTTGAGGCAACTTCACAGCTTCTACGAGTTAAGAGATTCGTGAAGGAATAATCTTGATAATGAATTGTAGCTAATGCTCGTACAAGAGAAGAAATCTCAAAAGGTTTAATTTGTCGTAATTGTAATTCTAATGCCTTGCAATGTTTTTGAATTTTCTTCATCCCATCAGTTCCTAGAAAATTACTCGATTGATACTCCTGTACAACCTCCCATATTGCGGAAATACGTTCCTCTATAGAAGGTTCATCAGCAGATGTTGTTGAGAGATTGGATCCTTTCTTAGTAGTAATATTGTTTTCAAGTGAAACAATATGACTGTTATTTTTATCCCCTTCTTGTTGTTTCGTCTCTGTAGATGTTGTATCCATCTGTTTTCCATTTACTCCTACTTCTCTTGAAAATGATGAGGATGAAGATAATTCACAAACAGTATCTGGAAAAGCTGCAAAGGTTCCATCAATAAACGTCCGCTGAAAAGGAGTTACGGTATCTGGATCTATATTTTGATATTGTTTGTGAATACTACGAATAAAAGCTTGGTTTCTCTGCAGCATTAAAGTATCTTCCTTTGATTTGAGTAGTGCACATATTTTGTAAATATCCTCCGCACACAATTCAATACGACTTGTGCTAACCGCTTGAATTAATTTCACAAGACCTCCTGCCTGCATCCAGTGTACACTACGCCGCATCTCTCGTTAACTAAAAGAAAGAAAGAATGAAAAAAAAAAAAAAAAAAATTTCTGATGATAAACAACAGTTAAAGGAAAAAAAAATATAACAAGAGGAATAAATAATAACAAAAAAAAATAATTAAGGACACAAATTTAGGCAATAAACAGTTTTCAAGATGATCGCTTTTCTTCTTCATTTTCTTCTTCTTCTTTGACTCTACCGTAATAGAAGCAAAGACCAATAATAATAATAGGTACCCCAGACACACCTATATATATATATATATATATAGAGAGAGAGAGAGAGAGACTTTAGCAATAACTGTAAATGTAAGTATATAAAGTAAGTTATTGCCTCAGTTCCATGGCTGAAATAACAATCGACTGGAAACACTCACAGGTATATCAGTGAGTGGTGGAACACTTTCTTTAGCATCTGAGAGACTTTCAAGACTGTGACGATCTTCTTTAGCATTTGAGTCTACTACACAAAATCCATCCGTGAGTGGATTTGTACGGTATAAAACCAATAAAAAAGAAGTGGAGAGATAATACACAACTGACATAATCAAAAGAGCCGGCATTGCCTCTGCCCAATACTTATCCGGGTAATAATTTATAAGTGCCCAGTCTAATAATGATCCTGGAAGACAGGCCCAAAGAAAATACATCACAAATGCTGTGATGATAAGAAGCCAGGCAATAAATCCATTGATCGCCACTTGGTGGCCTTTACTAGCACCTGCCACTACGGTTTCCGGATGATTTTCCGATTTGAGGGTCATTCTTCTTCCTTTTCACTTTCTACAATGGGTGTGAAGAACGGAGTTTCCAGATCTATACACAGAGATAGAGACCTCTATAGATATATACATAGATATATGCGTAAAGAAAAAAAAAAAAAAGAAAAAAAAAAAAAACCAGTTCCAACAAAAAAAAGAGGTGGAAAAGAAAATACATATTTATATAAAAGACACATAACAATTAATAAAAACAAACTCAATACAAATACACACATGCACAGAGAGAGAAAGAGAGAGAGAGGGGTGAAGAAAAAAAAAAAAGAATTCAACTATGAGATTAGAAACACAGGGTCTGTTTAGACAACATTGTTCGTCAGACATATCTCATCAAGCAGCATCTATGGGTTTTTTTTGTTATTTCGTTTTTTTTTTTCTGTCTATGGATTTTTATTTACAAAAAAATTATGTATATGAACACACATATGCGTCCTCATTAGCGCAAAGAAGACATAAAGAAATAAAAGAGAATATTACAATAATAGAAAAAAAAAGAAGAAATGTTAACTATTATATATCACCAGCCAACCATTTAGTGAAATACAAAGTGATTCAACAGTCCAAATAAGACCCCTCACGATCGAAAAAGTCATCAGGGTTAGAGGAAATATCTGTCTCAGCAAATTGTCCACTATCAACCGTTTGAGTGTCCACATTGCTGGGGAGAAACAAATGCGTTGATTTCAAACTCTCATCCGTACTAAAGACTCCCTCATCTCCCAATATTTTCTCCAAATTATGAATAGAATTACTTTCTATCCCAACTTCTTGAAGTTTTTTTGACAAGTGTTGAATCAACACTTGTTGTTTCCCTAATGCCTGTAAAAGAGTACTACGATCCCCATTGATAGCAATAAGTGAGGGATCTATCATAGATATATCATGTATAACTTCTTCTTCTTCCTCTTCTTGTTCTTCTTCTTCTTCTTTCATAGTAATTGTACTGTCAAACACAGGTCTTGTGAAGGATCGATGTTCTTTTTCACTTTTCAAAGAAGTTGGGTTTTCACTAAAAGATGCACAAAGATTTGTTTCCACCATCTTCACACTTGGCTCCATCAATATATCTGGGGTAAGAGGGGATATACCGTGACTATCGGTATCTAACTCCCCTAATACAAGCGATTGGTGAATAGATGAAATCACAGGAATAGATTCAATTCTTTCTTCACGAGTATGGAATGAGTCACCTGGTGGTCTTCCTATAGAATTAACAGGGAAAGAACTTTCACTTGTTGTACATGAAGTTCCCATTTTCACACTACGAGTAAGATCTATTCCAACAGTAGAATTATTACATGATTTATTTAAATTTCCTTCTGGGGGATATGATACCGATGCATATCGATTACTAATACTCTTTGCTCTTTCCATAAAAGATGTCGTAGAAGAACCTTCATTATTAGAAACAAGGGTAACAATTACGCTGTTACTATCACCATGGCCACTAGGAATACGAGAGGAAACTAAATGATCTGATACTAGTGAGATAGTGTTTTTTTTAGCTTGTATTTCCTTCCCAAAATTTTTATTACTTTGTTTATCAATGGATGTATTTGTATCATTCGTTTTTGATTTATCATTTAAATTTCGATTATCTACAATCTTATTTTGAGGGATTACATTAAGTGGAAAAGATTCTTTACTACTAGAACTGGTTGGAAGAATCATTACTCCTGCAGCTGATGTGCGTGATCGTAATGGACTACCGTCGGATTTCACAGGAGTTACCCGAACCGATAGACCACGTAAATGTAGACTTGTCATCATAACGTCATACTGCCGTCGGCTGTGGGCTGAAGGGAAATTACTGTTATTAAATGGATCATTATCATCTTCTGACTTATTTTCACTATTATTATTATTATTATTATTATTATTATTATTATTATTATTATTACCATCATCACTATTATCATAGTGTGAGTCTGTCATTTTATTTACTTTTTCACACGAGGAATTTAAAACGACTGGAGAGTCAGAGACCATATTATCCTTTCCTTTATATACGGAAGGATAGGCACTTAAAGATTCCTCACTATTACCTTGTTGAGATATGACTGAAAGTGTAAATGAGGGTACCGTATCACTTCCACCAGCTTCTAACAAGTCTTCTGCCTGCGTTGCGAGAAGAGCGAACAACTCTTGAACAAAACGAAGTACATGTAATTGAAGCATGACGGCTCCGTACTGTTCTACTTCATCTGCAAAGATGCCTGGAGATAATCCAAGTTCCTCTGCAACACGTAATACGACTCCCCAGTTATGAAGAGCCCATTTTTGTTTTACTTCTCTCTGAGTAATATCACCACCACAGTTTAAAGTAGTAATATTACTAAGTGGAAGCATTTTTGGTTGATAAAAATGTATAGTAAGCCCAAGTAATACTCCACTTTGGAGAGAATCATACAAAGATTTACCAAGATCATTCAAAGCAGCATCATAGAAACTTTTATCCAGAATCTTTTTCTTATACATTTCCTTTAACACATGAAATATCCAAAACAATAAGGCTTCTTCCATACCTTTTAACTCTCCATTGCATGTAGGATCAATAAAACGAACATGTGTAATGATATTCTCCACTGAGAGAAGTGTACAACAATGGTGAAGTAACAAAGAACGGGTAATAGCAATATGTGCCCCTAAAGCAAAATGTGTTCTAGCTATCATACCTTTAGCCATAGAGACATGTAAATCAAATCGACTCTGTTGACTCCGTGAAGAAGTTTCAATTCCATCTCCCAGCGCATCTAACAACTCTTCTTCGGTTAAAAGACCTTCAGCAATAAGCCAACGAAGAGATAAAAAATGGGCTTGATATTCACTTCTTTCACCATTTAACTGTGTTACAGTAGAATTGTTACTACTGGTTGTATATTCCGTTGAGAGAATAGAACTCACTGGTGCTGTAGCACGTAGAAGAAATGAATGCATGGTAGGTGGACAATGACCGAGTACTCCTTCTGCAACTAAAAGATAAACAATACCCTCCTGAGCTAGAGTAATAGCTTCTCTTGGTACTTCTACCGTAGATCCCACTGTAGCGAATGATCGTGAAATCAGAGATTCCACTATTCTCACTTGTTCAATGATGTGAAGATAATGTGATTCCACAACAGGATCAAGTTTCTGTACAGCATATGAGCACACCCAACGCAGATTACATATAAACTCAAGCAACGGAAGAACCTCCTTTTCTTGGAACATGGCGTAGAAAGAATATTAATGCTTTGGCCTCTTTACTTATACTCTCTTACTTGTCCTAACGGAGTTACACATAAAAAAAAAAAAAAAAGTCACTCTTTAGCAAAAAAAATATAAGAAAAATATTAAAATAAATAAAAAAAAAAGTACATGATGCCAAACACATACAGACACACACAAACAAACAAACAAACAAAAGAATACACCACAACAACAAAAAAGAGAGATGTTTCTGATTTAGAAAAAAGAAAAAAAAAAAAGAATCAGTTTATCTATGTTTATGGTCACAAAGTCGGTGTGACACTTTTAGATCTATTAACTTAACTAGGGCGTGGCAGTCGATACACTCGCTGATCGTGTGGGCGTAGTAACACAGTACCAGCAGATGAACGCTCATCCCGATCACTACTCATATACCGCTGTTCTCGGAACTGAGAGTCCGCGGAGGTTCCAGATCTTCCCGCCTCACTTAAACCCGGTGTTACCCCGGAACCAAGCAAATTATCATATAAAGGAGCATTGGGTCCAAAGTGTGTACCAACACTGGCCGAAAGATAATTATGATGATGATGATGGTGATAAGTAGAAAGAGGAGGAGGAGGAGGAGGTGTTTGTTGTTGTTGTTGTGGCGGCGGTGGTGGTGGTGTTTGTTGCCATGTTCGTGTATAATCTTCTGAACGGCACGGTGTTTCTGTGATTCCTCGAGCAGCGAAGTTCTGCATGGTGCGGTATGCCTCCATCACATCACCGGAGTTCCCAGCATCTCGTGAAGAGATTGTATCTGCATGAGGAACAGAGGCTGATGAGGATGAAGATATGGGAGCTGCTTGTGGTGATGTATTCGTCGGTGTAGTTATATTTGTTGTTGTTGTTGTTGTTGTTGTTTTTTCAGTTATGGATGCTGGGACCACATTAGCAGGATTGATAGTCTCCACATCCCCAGATTGTTTATTAGGGGAATTCCTTTCATCCTCTTCAATAGCCTTTATAGCCTTTGCCAATCGTTCCCGTGCTGCTTCCTCTAAACGACGGAGTTCCTGTTCGGTGAGCCGCTCTGAGCGCTGCCAGTGTAATGCTTCTCTTTCTCTTATATTCGTTATATCCGCCACTTGTTCACGGGCAGCGGTGAGTTCTTCATGTAAAGCCTCTAAACGCCCGGCACTATGAATGCGTTGTTGAACGGCATTCAATCGAGTGATGTTTCCCATTTCACGCAGGCGATTATTTTCTTTTTCACGTCCTAATCCATATCTCCAACTTTCATTTTCACTCACAAATTGAGATGCCACTTTTGCTCGTTTCTTTTCAACAAATACTTCTTCTAGGGTTTCCGCTTGAACTAGTTGTTCTTGAACACCTTGAATACGCTTTTGAAATTCTCCTGCCTGTTCTCTCTGTTGAAGGGATTGTTGTAAATCCTCTAATTTCTGTTTGATCACTTCCTTATTCGTTTTCCAAAGTGTAGGGTATGCGTAATCTATAAAAGAATGTAATTTACTATAGGGCTTTGTCAATTCTCCTTTAGGAATTTTTTCAAACATTTTATAAGTTTCTGATATAATTTTATTAACATCCATAGAATGTGTGATCGTAAAAGCAGTTGTAAGTTCTTGTTGATCATCTATTTGCATAAGTTTCCCTCGAATATGTATAAGCCATTGAATATGAAATACGAACAACCAAAGTGGTTCATTAAAGAAAGCATGATCCATTACTTGTAACCAGACGGCAGAGGAAAGAACATCGGTGTAAAGTGAACGTAATGGTTCCCATCCCCAGTTTTCAACCATTATACCTCGTTGATCAAGATAATTATATAATTCTGCATCTTCTGTACGAAGCAATTGATTTAATAATGTTGTAAGAGCAACAGGATGATGGGGATAGTATTGAAAAAATTCTTGACCCCAATTTATTAGAAATATAAGGACAACTTCAACGACTGATTGTGTATCAATATCATACACTTGCAAAAATGGATAAATAATCATTGGTAAAAAATGAATTACGGCAAACATACTATCATGCCAAATTAGAATTGATAGAACTAACTCCATAGAATCACGTATTTTCTTGTCAGAAAGAGGAAAAGGTTTCATAAGAAACGGTACAAATGGATGTTTTTCCTTACTATGTAGTTGAGCATATTGTGGAGCCGTAAAACGTTTTTCTGGTAATTGTAGAAGAAATCTCCATATAAGAGGACGATACTTATCAGGGAATACACCATAACGTGTTAGTAAACGCTTTAACTTCAGCATATTTGCTTCTCTAGAGGCTTTATCAAGAAAAGGTCGAAGTGATAATTCTTTTTTCTTTTTATTGTTTGCATGATCATTTTCTTGACCTTCACGTATGCCTCGTCCCTTTAAAGTTATAGAAGGCGGATCTAAAGAAGTTTCACGTGTATGAGCATCACCATTTTCTTTATGATGAATACCATTATTATATGAAGGAAGAAGATTTACTTTTACCCATTTAGACACCTGCTGTTCACTAGGATGAATAAGTGGTCGTGGAAGCGTCATATCGGTAATATCTTCCCCTTCATCATCTACATGTGTGTGTGATTCTATACGTGTATGTCCTTTTTCTTCTACAAATGGATACATACGTCGTGGTAATGCCGGATTTGATTCACATGAATTTATTTTAGTTCTCTGTAAATAATATTGACGGGCGGTGGGAAGATGAAAGACCATGAGTTGTTCACCATGAGCGAAAACGGCAAAGGATGGACCAGAGACTTTAAATATTGTGGGTCTCTTAGGAACAGAACCTGTATATGGGGCTGCCATTGCAAAAGCTACCGTAAAGGTATTCATCACCACAAATACAATTGTTCCATCTGTAAGTTCACAAGCGATAAGATCATTATGAATGATAAACAGTGAACAGGTGATTGCAGGAACATTAGATAATTTAACACAACCAATAGAAGATAAATCTTCTGTTTTTAAAAATCCAACCAAAGCATTTGTTCCACCAATAGCGATGTAATCATCACATATAGCCACAGAACGAGGTCTAAGATCTACTACTACTCCTTGTATAGGTTGTAAAGTAAAAGGATCCCATTTTTTAACTAATCCAGACCATTCTATCGTTATCAATATCTTTTTCCCTACATAAACACTCATAAAATTATGTATAGTATTCACTACGGTTAAGTGTGTATGCGCACGACATGTCATCTGTGAAGTTTCCCATAAAGCTAATGCCTCTCGTGAAAGAGTCGCTACTAATGTAGACCCGGTTGTAAAAGAGGATGGACAAATAGTATGAATAACATGCTGATGAGCTGTTTTCTCTCGTCTAATTATTCGGCTAGTGTTACAGTCAATCCAAACAAGAGATAAATCTTCCGTGGCGCAAAGAAATAACGGCTCTAAACTACTACCACATCGTGCCATTGCGGTTATTGGGTATTCCAGTGTTGCAAATAACTTTACAAGATTCTTGCGTAATGAAAACATATAAACAACGGCTCCACTGCTACTCGCATAAAAGATGGCTTCATCACTTGGATCAAACACGACATGTGTAAATCGTATTGTTCCTCTTCCACCAATTAACGTCACATCTACAAATTGTCCAGTTGATCTTGTCACTCGTCCAATAGACGGCCATAATGATGCTCTGACGGTGTTTACATCAATGGCAACAGACATTAGACACACAAACACACACAGAGCCAAATCCACAGAGAGACGGAATAACTCTAAAATTTGGTGATCTAAATAAAAAGATGTCACTCGCCCTATCAAAAATAGTCAAGAGCCAAGACTATAATAAAGTCAAAAAAAAAAAAAAAAAATACAAAAAGTAAATGAATAAAATGAACACACACACAAAAAAGGAGAAGGATAGTGAATAAAAATAATTACAAGAAGAATAATAGAAGATATTAATAATATACGAGAAATTCAAAGGATCAGCTCTACACATCCCACTTCACGAATCGCACTAGCAATATTTGTTATTGGTTCTTTTTTTCTTTTTCTTTTCGTTTGGTATACTGGTTCAATAATAGAAATGATACCGCTGTATGGAGTGAGGACCGAATAAAGAAAAGAAAAAAAAAATACTTTTCTCCTTTATCTTTTTCACCTACAAACCATAAAATGATATAAAAATAAATAAATAAATATAAAAAGGAACAACGACTACAATACCGAACCAGTTCAGATTCATTCTTCAAAAAAAAAAAAAAAAAAAAAAAAAAGGAGATGCTTGGTTTTGCTCTCCCCCCTCTTCTTCCCTTAACAAAACGATCTCTCTTTCTCTTTCTCCCATTCCATTCCATATATATATATATANAAAAAAAAGGAAAATATTCAGGAGATGCTTGGTTTTGCTCTCCCCCCTCTTCTTCCCTTAACAAAACGATCTCTCTTTCTCTTTCTCCCATTCCAAGACAGACATATATATATATATATATATATATATATATATATATTAATATATATATTAACGTGCAACAGAATTTTTCTTTGAGCCGGTAGGCTGTGCCGCCATACCCCCAGTTCCATCTGCAAGAATAAATGTCACTTGCCCCCTTCGCACTTCCTCTTTCTTTTCATGACCGTGAACTACTCTTTTGTACATATTCGTGCAGCGTCTTTCATAGCAGTGTGGACACCAACGGTTTGTCCCACCGCAATAGGCACATGGATTGAGACAAACAGCACATTTTGGGAGATTTGGATAAGCATTGCACGTCGTACGTTGATAGACACAGCCTGGACCGTGTTCAATGGGCAGTGGCTTCTTTTTCCCTTTCGGCGGTGGACGGTAAGTGTCCACACCGCAGCCACAGAGTTCCTTTGGCGGCTCCTTCTTTTTCTTAGCGGCCTGGCCGTCGTCCTTCTCCTTCTTGGGCGGCATACAGACTATACTTGTATATATATATATATATATATAGAGAGAGAGAGAGAGAGAGAGAGAAAGAGAAAAAGAGAAAGTGTATGTGTATGTGTATGTATATATGGAAATAAGAAAAAATATATAATAGAAGGCAATTAAAACAAAAAAAAAAGTCATTATGATTTATAAAATGAATTGAAGCATTCTTTTATTATTATTATTATTTTTTTTATTATTTTTGCTTCCTTTACTCATTTTTCGTTCTCTTGTTAACCGGTTTATATGTGATAAAGAATGAGAGAAAATCAAAACGGATTGCAAAAAAGATATATATATATATATATATATATATAGAGAGAGAGAGAGAGAGAGTTTGCGTGTGTGTATGTGTGTGTGTTTATGAGTTCAAGTCACCAAAGAAACCGTGAACACGTCGTCGTCTCTTTTCAAAAGTGAAACTCATTTTCTTTCGTTTATCTTCTTTGAGCCACTTTGCTGCAGCCACACGTTCACGTTTCTTTTGTCGCTCTGTTTTTTCTTCCTTTTCTTCCTCGCTTTCCATGGACTCATCGCTATCACTATCATTATCATCTTCTCGTAGTCTCTTCTCTGACTTGCCTACATTCGTTGTAGACTTTAAACTCTTCTTCTTTGATTTACCCGCATCACTGTCACTGCTATCATCATCATCATCACTATCACTATCGGACTCTTCCATCATTGCTTCCTTCTCACGTTCTTCTTCCATTTCCCGCAGTACTGCCAAGTGTCTCTGCTCTGCTTGTGATCGCAGTTGATCCAACTCACGTTCATTAGATAGGAAACGAACATCTACAAAATCAATAGTATTATCCGTACCACACACCGCAAGCATTGCGGAATCATGACTTAATCGCATTCGAGTGATTCCTTCATTTCCTCGTTGACGTTGAATAGCTGCATTAGCATGTGCACTACTGCTTTTCCCACCAAGTGAGTTATGATGAGAGTATGTAAAGTCTCTGGCACTAAGTTGACAGAGATTACGACGCACAGGATACATTTGAATAACACGAACAAGACCATCACACGCCCCTGTAAGAATTACATTATGATTAAATGTACTCTCAGGATTATTAAAGGAGATGATACTCTCACACTCCGCTGGATGTTTTTCAAGTAAATCATATGGTCGACGCCAAGAACCAAATTTCCAAACTGGAATTCCTCCATTTGGTGTTCCACACACAATACTTGGAATAAAGGAACTAGTATTATTACCTGTATTATTTACAAATGCAAAACAATTTAATTCATCTTTTCGTTTTTCACTGTAATCTCGGATTTTACCTGCTCGAAGATCAAACACGCCAAGGCACGTGTCACCACTACTTGAGACAAGTTCTTGAATATCAGAGAAGTAAATCATCTGAGAAACATAATCACCATGTTCATGATAACGAAATGCCGGAGCTCGTTGACGCATATCCCAAAGGACAATCATTCCATCATCATCACCTGTAGCCACCACATTCTCATCACAAACATTAAGAGCAGATATACCAAACTTGTGAGGGTTTTTATCTTTTTTCTTCTTAGTTCCTTTTTTTGTTACCTTATCCTCTTTATTTTTTTCTGGTTTACTACTCAAAGTTGATTTTTTTGATGAGGTATTCACACCAACATGTAGGGCAATTTGCTCTGCCACACAATCCAAGACTGTAAGTGTTCGATCACTACTAGCCGTTACGAGATAGTTTCCATCCTCTGTAAACTCCATAGATGAAATACCTCCTTTCGGATGCATACGAAGATTATATGGATTTGTCTGTAAATCATTATGACTGGTTTTAAAGTATTGTTGTGTGATTGGCCGTCGCTTTGTCTCTATTCCACGATACTCATGTACTTCCAACTCACCAGTGACGAGACCAGCGGCGAGGAGTGGGAGGGATGGATGCATGGCGATATCGAGAACAGGTGCGGTGGTGAGAAGCGACGGCGGTACAGTGATGGCGGTTCCCTCACCAAAGAGCACATCATCATCTATTGCAGTACAGTCAAGATTCATTTTTTTTTTTTTTTAAATTCTTTTCTTTTTGTTTACGTATTCCTCTTTTCACTCACTCACTCAGTCAGTCAGTCAAACGAAGTCTGAGTTATCGTTGAATACCTTCTCTTTTTTCCTGTACAGGCCTTTTTGGTAGGAATACTCTCTACGCTTGGGTGGGTTCTTCTGCAACGGGAATGCCTCTTATTCGCAATGGAGAGAAAAGGGAGAAAAAAAACAAAACAACAACAATCATATCAATAATAATAATAATAATAATAATAATAATAATAATAATAATAACAAGTAGAAGAATATAAAAAAGGCTCCAAAATAATAACAATATAAAGGTACTGAAACTAATATATAAACAAATGCAAAGAAATACTGGTATCTGGCAATTTCAAACAAGTGATACTGTCTTCTTTTTTTTTTTTTTCTGTATCCCTCATCCTCTTAGTTTTTCTTTCTTCCCTTTTTTCTTTTTTTTTTTTTGTTCGCATTCACTTTATTTCTACCGCCTTCGCTAAGGTGATGATACATCATTAAAGATACGCAAGAGAAAGAATCACAATATTCACATTACGATATAGGAAGAGAGAGAGAAATAAAAGAAATTTCACCACCATAGTAATGTGGAGACCAAGGAGCTACAGAAACACATACACAACAAAAGACAACCCCAACGCATAAAAAAAAAGTGTTACTGCATGGACTTTAAAAGGCGGTAGGAAATTTTTCTTTTCTTTTTTTTTTTTTTTTAATGATATGAATCGGAAAGGCAAACAAACAAACAAAAAAAGAAACATATAACTAGTAAAGACAAAAAAAAGGTAATCATAATGCAAACCAAATATGAAGAACAGAAAAGAAAGACAAGAAGGAAAATGAAGAAAATGTCTTACATTTCTATCCTGACGCAATAACTGAAATACAAGAAAACAACGCCAACGAGAAGGAGGAGTACAGAAAAAAAAAATAAAAAAAAAAAAAAAAAGAAACACAAAAGCATCTCTTAAACGATTGGCTCTCCCCTTTCACCTAATACATCGCCTACAGAGAACGTCCAATCTTATGTGTTGTGTGATTGTAGTTAATAAATCAGTGTGGGCAGAAAACGTGCCTCTGCCCCAAACACACAGAGAGAGAACTACTTTCACTTTCTTTTTCCTTCTCTTCTCTTCTCCTTCCCCTTTTTACATTTTTTTTTTCTCCTTATTTTCCCCCAAAATATAGATTTGCCCTAACCCGAGAGAGATTGCGAGTTGAATCATCATCACATACACACATATACATTACCCATTACTGTAGTTCAGTCTACTAGTGACTCGTGTGTGTCTTTCTCTAAAAACTCCGCCACGCGCTCCGCCACTCGTCGCCTGTTGCCAAGCTCAGCGAAGAACCAATGACCGCCTGGAAACGCGATAACCTCCGATCCATCATATTGGCCCTTTACTCCAATATAATGTTCCCACTGCGGTGTATGCAACATCACCGGCTTCTGCGAACCGTAGAGAAAGAGCACAGGAACCGCAACTGGGATGAGAAAGCGCTGAGAAGCAGGGAGAAGACGGGATAATCGCAACATCCAATAACGAAGATAAATCCATCCCCATGCGGGATCCACATCAACGATGTTTTCACTATCACTTTGTGTCTTTGCAGATGACTTATCACTCCAACGGAAACACTTGGATTTGTTACTTCCATCAAATGTACGGCATTCCTCACACTCTACACTATTTCCATGACAACTATAACAGGTATAACAAACACCTGTTGCACTGGGATGTGGAGGTTGTGTATACATCAATAATCCATTTGTATAGTAATATCGACATTGATGAAATGCCGCATCCAATGTGTTTACACCACTTTTACTATCGGTATTATCACAACCAAAATGGATGATGGCATTCACAACATCTACTAAACGCCATGACTTCCAACGAGACCAAAGAGGAGGGTCCTTTTTTTTCTTCTCTTGTACATAAGATGAAACTAATACGAATTCCTTTCCAGCATTTTTATTGGGTTTAATGGTGGGTGAACATGCATATCGATATTGAGGTCTACGGGTGACTCGCAAACAGACACGTAAAGCTCTTCTTCCCAAAAATTCTGGAAGTAAAATATAAGCTGTAACAATAATCAATTGAAATAAAAAAATAAAAGCCCACCTTAGCCCAAGACTAAATAAACATCTACTCTTATTATCATCACCTGGAGTTAAAAAAGATGTATCGGAAACAGGTCCACCCGTATCCAGCAATACCACACGAGAAAAAAAATAAGGCCGTGTTAACAAGAACTCAGAGGCCACTACACATCCCCAATCATGAGCAATAAGCATTGGTCTCTCCAACGGAGAATGTTCCATTGCGGCGAGAATAGCAATCTCAAAGAGATCCACCAATTCATCAAAGGAATACCCTAATAAAGGAACAGGAAGGGCAACTGCTCCAGTTTTGGAATGATGGCGGAATAATGGGGAATTATGATCAAATCCGGGCAATGTGATCCCAACAAGTCGGTAGCTCTGGGCTAATGCATGCATGAGATTCTCACGAAATACTTCAGGAGTGTCCGGCCAACCGGCGAGAAAAACAACAGTGCGGCCGCTAAGATTACCGGAGATGTGAACGTTCATTTCCCTAAAAAAACCACAAACAAACAAACACACAAACAGAGAGCCCTTCTCTCTTTTTTCTTTTTCTTTTTTATTTCTCACTCAATTGCCTGTGTATGCCCTCGAAACCTGAGAATATTTTTTATAAAATAATCAATAAATCGTAAATATCGGGAAACAAAAACAAACAAACAAAAAAAGAAGCGTTGAGTCGTACGTGCCGACTTCACGCTTTGAAAAAGTTTCCTTTGTGATCCTTAGATGATGTGTAGAAATGTACACCCGTTACTTCGAGAGGCGGGGAGCTCTTTTCTACACAAACACACACACAAACGAAGAAGAAGGAATTATATATGTGTAATAACTATTAATCTGTATAAATACAGTGACCTATTATTATTATTAGTAGTATTGGTTGGTTTAAAAGCGTATAGAAGACAAGAGAAAAGAAGAAGAAAAATAATAAAATAAAAAATAAAAAACAAACAAGTTTGTAAGAGATATTGCAGAATCAAAAAAAAAAAAAACAAAAAAAACAAAAAAGAGCCATATCAATAAAGGAACAACGTTTACACCTATGGATGAAAAAGAAAACAATAGGAAGAAAAACAAAAAAAGGATAACACATGATTCTCCCAAAGTAACGCCTTCTTTCTGCACACGTGCCCATACATACGCACACATGATGGCGCACGCGCCTTTTCTCTTTTATTATCTACCTTTATGATAACAATAGCTTAAAATATATTTACCACACAAAATGAAAAACAGTAAAAAGAAAAAAAAAGCAAAACAACAAAAAACAACAAAAGGATCACACACGTTGGTAGGCGCAATGGTGGCATCAAACAAGGAAAAAAAAAAGAAAAAAAAACAGATTTTTTATCTTTACACCTTTTTCCCACTGCCACATCTTTTTTCTCCCTTTTTTCTTTCATTCACACACATATACATACATACATATGTACTGATACCTCCCCCAAAAGGGGGCATCTCTCTCTCTCTCTCTCTTCAACAAGAAGAGTTAATGATGGTGTTTTTCTTTTTTTTTTTTTTTCCTGTTGCTGTCTTCGACAATGAAAAAGAAAAAGAAAAAAGAGAAAGAAATGGAGACAAAAAGAGGACAGCCGCTCACAACAGCGGACGCCAAAAACAAACAAACAAAAACACACTCAACAACGAGAACAGCTTTCATGTTCAATGAAGAACAATAACAAACACACCTCCGCCACCGCCACTGCCACCACCACCACCGACACCATTAATCACACAAATAATGAGAAACCAAATATTAAAAAGGGGAAAAAAAGAGAGAGAGAGAAAGTAACAATTTCAATCCCAAAATAAGGTGCTCTAACAGCAAAAAGGAGAAAGCAAAAGAAGGTTAGCAAATACGCTTGATCAATTATTTTCATCTTTATAGTATCCTTAAAGGAAGAAAACACAAATATTTCCTTTCAGCCAAAAAAAATTCATAACACTCAAACTCTTAGCAACCTCAATATAATATAATATATATTATATGTGTGTATATTCCTCTTTAAGAAGATAACATCACTTCTTCTTTTAGATCCACGTCGCCCTGTTCCTTTTCTATCATACTGCCAAAGATTCAGATAATGCCCCCAGGAGACCACAGATCGGAAAATAATAACAATAATAATAACAACAATAATAATAATAAAGAAGTAAAGGTGAGTGAATGCATGAAAGACCCAACGAGTAGAGAGAAGCCATATCAAAACAGTTATGCACTAACACAATAACGGGTTTGTAGACACCCTGCAAATACATGAAAAGAAAAGCAAGATCCATGAAGAAAAAAAAAGAAAGAAACGAAAAAACAAACAAACAAACAATAAAATGACAGCGTGTTCACGGAAAACATCAAATAACCACCTTTTGGTTATTTTTTTTTAAATCCCATCCTATCTCCTATCACTGCTTCTTTCACATTTATCGTCCCACCTTCCTATTTGCTTTGGGTCCTCTCTATTCCTCAGTTCGCCAAATAATAAAAGGAAACACCTCAATGTACCGTAAAAAAAAAAAAAAAAAAGAAAAGAAAAAGAACCCCTCGTTTTACAATTGTTTTCCTTGTGCCTCAACATCAACTCCACGTGAAGTATACAAACAACGACAAACCAAACGGCTTATTCCCAATCATACATACACACACGTACTCTCTCCACAGTATATTTCCATTTATTACAAATTCTATGCGTTTTATACTTTCAAATCGTTTTACTTCAAATGACATCCGTTTATTGTCCTTTTGCGGTTTACAACAAACAACATACCAGGAAGACAAGCACACACACACACACCGTCACAAACTCAGACATACATACGTATGTGAAAAACATGGGGTGTGAAATACGAACGAGAAAGTATAAAACATCAAAGAAAACATTTGGAAACCATCAAGAAAAATAAAAAAAGAAAATACATGCGCAATCATTGTAGAGTTGAGTCACATCATTGATCACCACCTTCAGAGCACCCCCTTATTTATTTCACTTCTTCCTTACCCATCATCACGTCATTCTGTAAACGCAAAGGCAGTGGAAGAAAACGAAGTAGAAATAACAACAACAAAAACAACAACAAAAACAACACTACTTATTTTAATTCAAGGGTTGATGCATGTTCGTCCAGTTTCCAGAGTAAACTTGTTGAGTAGGAATAGAAACTTGAGGGTATACAATGCCCTGTTGTTGTTGTTGTTGTTGCTGTTGCTGCTGTTGTTGTTGTTGTTGAATTGCACTTGGTTTTAGATGCGGCGCTGGCACCATGACATGCGCTGGGGTGTGAAAAGAGGTGACCATGGGATACAGAGTCATTCGTCCATCACCTGTTGGCATGAGCACCATAGGAACCTGCTGCTGCACCTGTGCCTGAGGATAGGCTGCCATGTGTTGTGGTGAATTCGGACCAAGTGATGGATACACACCGGTGTTAATGCGTTCACGTTCTTCTGGAGATGCAAACATGACAGGCACATACGGCATTTGCATTGGAGTTGTTTGTCCCATAGGCGTTCCACCGCTCATGCGATGCGATGAGTAGGCGCGTGATGCCATATCCTCTAATATCTGATGATGTTGCTGTTGTTGATGTTGTTGTCCTGTTTTCACTGCCAGTGCTGCTGCTGTTGCTGCGGCCGCGGCTGCTGCTGTTGTGCCGGGAACATCATTTGTTTCTTCTTCGCTGCTGCCACCATCTGCCTGTTGCATCCAAGACCGCGCGAAGCTCTCAAGTGCGTGACGGGCGGATGGTGGAATAGCCCGCGATGGTTCGGGCGGTGGAGTCGCGGCGCCGTCGACGAGAGCGCCGAGATGCGGCCGTGCGAGATCGAGCACCGCGTCGTCGTCACCGTGCGATGACATTTCCCCTGCGTAGTCGTCTTGTAGAGATGCGAATACATCTTTACTGTTATCATTCCTCTTTGGTAGCATTGTGCCCCACGGCAACAAATCATCACTCTCTGCATTGATTGGTGCAGCAGTTAGTGCGGCTATAGCGCTGGTGGTGAGGCCAGTCATCCTTGGGGATGTTGTTGTTGTTGTTGGGGCTGTTGTTGCCGGTGATATATGTGTAGAGAAAGTTGCTGCAGCTGCAGTTGAGGTGGTTGTCGGCCCATTCACACGCGTTGAACGAGGTTGTGGAATCGTGAGTGATGGGGCTTCACGTCCATCTTGTCCCGATTGCTTACCCTTCTCAACAGTTCGCGAAAATTCAAAACGAGATGTCATTGTTCCACCCATTACAGTTCCTGTTCCTGATGCTTCCACGGTGTTTCTCTTTATCTCTGCAGTATTGAATGAATTTGAGGATGTCGCAGCTGAAGATTTAGCATTACCCCTTTTATCCACACGTACAGTATTTTTCTCTGTTGATTTTCGCTTTGCCTCTGTTAATTCCGTATACATTATTTTTTGACCAATGGACTCCGGTGTTAATGACTGAGTAGAAATAGATGTAGGTGGAGTTGGGGAGACAACCTGTTTCGAAACATTTACTTTAACATTATTTTCAGTGCTCCTACTCTCCATGCCATCAGGAACTGAACGTTGTGCTGATTGGGGTGCGGGTGTTAAAATCTTAACGTTTGCTTCTGTTGAGGATAATGGTACGGAGGGTTTTGTTGTTACGGTGGCTGCAGGTGTTGCCTCTGTGGAGGAGACCGCTACTACCGTTGCTGCTGCTGCTGTTGCTGCTCCTGATTCAGAAGTTAAAGTTGCTGCTTTTGCTCTCATACCTCTTGGAAGTGGAATACTCAATACTTTTGTGGTATTTCCTGAAACACTTTTCACACTTGGTTGGGCCTTTGGAGCAGTAGCAGTAGTAGTATTAGCAGCAGTAGTAGTAGTATTAGTAGAAATAGCAGGTGTTATTGGTGTAGATATAATATTCTTGCTTTTACTTTCCTTCCTGGAAGACTCCTGCACGACCGAAGTGCTCTGCAATATCTTCTTATTCTTCCCCTCACCACTTTTTCTTTTTCGCTCTGTACTACTTGCATTACTGCTTGTTTGCTGCGGTGATGCTGAGAGAGGAATAGACCGTGATGACGGGGCTGTATGAGATGTATCCCCCACCACTGAAAAGGGCGCCGTTATTTCTTTCTGTTCGGAATCCACTTCTTCTCGTCTACACATAGATGATGAGGATGTTGATGAGGATGATGGTAACATCACACCAGAATCGTTTTTAGCTACAGAAAGTGTAGATGAGCTCTTTTCAGATGAAGCATGATGTTGGGATGAGTGTTCACTTTCACCTACCGTCTGTGCTATCTCTTTCTCTGTCGTTTTCACTACCACTTCTTCTTCTTCGTTTTCCTTTTCCTCTTCTTCTTCCTCTTCTTTTTCCACTTTTTCTTCGACCTTGACTTCCTCTTCCTCTTCCTCTTCCTCCTGTGACATTAAAGCAGTAGTTTTACTTTGTACTTCTGACACGTCAAGACTCTTACTTTTATCCATTACAAGAGCAGTATCAACATCAGAGGAAGAAAGCATTTGCTTCTCCGTTCGACTTGGTGGTGATATACATGAAGATTCTCCCAAAACATTTTCTCTTTCTTCCATATCGGTTTCAGTAATTCCCTTCTCAAAGGCACTTGAGGAATTTGTACTTTTCATCACCATTGAGGGTGATAATGATGGTACAATCACAGAAGGTTCTGCTTCTTCACTACCAGAGAGTTTCCTTAACACTGGATTCACCCTAGTAGTTACCGCTGCTACTACAGTTGCAGTTATACTATGATTAGATCCATTTGATTTTTCCCCATTTAACTGCACAGAAGCATGGACAGTCTTTTCCTTTTGTTTCGGTTCATTCTTTATTGTTTTTGTTGTAATTCCTGACACTGTCACCGCTGGTGTTGATGATGCTACCGATGATGAAAAACCCCAATCATACATGTCAAGAATTGTACCAAACAGAAAAAGCCATCCAAACGCAATGGTATTCATATAAAGAAGTTTCTTATACCATGCAATGTGTTGTACATTTAACGCCGTGTGATGAACTTGCCAAGAGGCATCTACAGCAACCATAAACAACCATACAAGTGCCAATGGTCCTGTTGAATGTATTCGCCGAGGAGAATAGGAGGCGATATACAATATAAAGAACCCAGAGGATACACAATTTGCAGTAAAAGAGAGAGAATGTGCAGGTATAAAATAACCTACAAATCCAATAACGAAAAGATAAGCAAGAAAGCAAACAATACTCTCACGTAGTGCTTTCTGAAAATCTTCACCTTTTCCCTTTCCTAAAATGATGTAACCGACCATTACGGTGCTGAGAAGACCCATACAAGATGTATCAAAGGCCCATTCAAACATCATAGTAGAGAACCACATACATAACGCCATACCAAAATTAAATCCCAGAAAGTAAAAGTAATCCAAAAATAAACGCCGTAATATTAATATATTCCTTAAAGGTGTATTCAAAAGGTTTTTCTCAACGTTTTCAGCTACATTAAGAACTCTCCATATAATTTCACGACGAGCACGTTGTAGAAATTGTGTATCCGTTATAAGGAGAGTAAGAGAAAATGCCAAACTGTAACTTGAATATAGTGTATACACCCACGAACGCTGACCTGACAATGCCAAAAATGTATCCCGCAACGAATACGACGGGAGCCAAAAATAAGTTATAAGTAGATAAAAACCTAATAAACATGCTGCTGAACCAAGTCCAAAACGAGCCCAATGAATGGTATTAACTACAAATAAAGCCACAGATAATCGATGAATATTTCTAAGATCTAATGAGGCCAAAATAATAGTAAACCATACGAATTGTTCCACTACAAATGCTGTTCGTGGTCCCACACGTCCTTTTCGTTTTTGCTGCGATAAACTATTTCTCACAGCTGGTGTATTATTAATATTAATATTATTATTATTATTTAATCGAGCTATACAATGTGGACAAGACAAAGACATTATTTCTTCTCTTCTCATTGCCTCATGCGTCACCAGTATTACTCGCAGTAGCGGCACTATCGTCTCTACCACAATAGGAGAACAACCACGCAGAACAATATCATAGCGACGCACCTGTGAACACATAATCCACAGAATAACCGTCACCACACGCCAAAAGACATCCACTTCTTCCTCTGTTCGCATGCGGATAAGATCTGCATTTTTGCGGATGGTAAAGCGATCCTCCAACACGTGAAGGGCGCCTTCAAACCAACCAATCACCGTTCGTGAAGGGGATAAGTGCCAACCCATAATAATTTCCAAAGTCAATTATAACCAAAGTTTATAATGGGCTAAAGTTTCACCAATACAACAAGACAAAAAGAAATTTATTTAATATCTTGTTTCCTTTCACAATTCAGTCAACTCACACAAACACAGAAAAAGTGAGAGTGAGTGAGATGTTCTGAAACAACAATAATGGCCCCTCAAGGAGAAAAATAATAAGAAAGTGCCACACAAATTTGTATATATATAAAAAAAAATATATATATACAACCTCTTCCTCTTTTCCTTTTTCGCCTCGTATTACTCTGCACCTAAAATCACACGGGTAATTTAGCAGCAGTAATAATAGTAGTACTAATAATATAAATATTATTAGTATCTAATCAACAATAATAATCACAGCGACAATAAGAGTAGAAATGATAAAAGAAGATTGAGTAGAGATGAACCACTAGGAGACAACAGGTCTATTGGAGAAGTGATGACGCTTCTCTCCTTACCGTGTATTTATATACAAAAACGATTTTTGTTTTTGTCTCCTAACAGTATTCTTCTCTCACTTTCTTCTCCCCCTTCTCTACAAGAACCTCTTTTCTCTCTTCCTTGGCACCTTTCTTTTCCCCCTCTTTACTTTGCTTCTTTTCCCTCCTGAATACTTTTTCTTTTAACCCACTCTTTTTTTGTTTTCCTTCTTTGTCGGTTGATTTGTATTCACCACTCGCTTTCAATCTATCTTTTTCCACCCTCTCTTGCTTTCTTTCTTTTCCCCAACACCCACACAAGTTAATGCGACTACTGCTGTGTCTGGTGGAAATGGATAGTAAGAGAATATCTCTCCACAGAAGTGATAAGAGATAGAAAAGAAAAACGCGCCCAACAAGAGTAAAGACAACCAAACAAGAAGCGTGTCACCTGCAGAATAAGAAAAAAGGCGCACAAAGAAGAATAAGAAAAAGAAAAAAAAAGGAAAAGGATTCAAAAAAAAAAAGTTTTAAGAGAAAACAAAAAAGTTAAATACAGAGGTAGGAAAGTGATTCTTCACAATCCCACTATGTATCTCTTTTTTTTTTTTTTGTTTACTCCCGAAACCAGTCCTTTTT